TACGGTATATACTAGAACTAATAACGCACTCTGAACGACTAGTCGGTGAAGTGATTGCCACCATGCACAATTCAAATCATATTTTTGCATACATTTATATTAATTCAAAATGTTGATAAACTTGCCTTGAAGAAAAATTTGTAGGATATTGAGATTCGGTGATGCTGAAATTTAGCGGTAGCCGTACAATAATATGTTATATACTATCTATTTCATGTTAACGTGTTAGGTTATGGTTAGGGTATAAGTTTATATGAATAGTTCAAGTGTTAGTCTAAAGAGTCTGATCAACTATTATACGCGTGAGTATAATAAACACTTATTATCGTACGTTACTATATTACTTTACATAGGACTCAAAATCCAACTATTAAAAACATATTTTAAAAAATCGCATATTAAACCATATTTATTAACGAAGTTATGAATGTGTTTGCCAACATAAATTTTTCTTAAATGCAGAATTTTCCAATATTAAAATATTTTATCGTAACTTTGTTACAATAAAAAATACGAATCATATATAATTAATAGACATGAACTGCTATCATGATAATTAAATTCCAAAAAAAAAAAAGCTTTAATTTTTATATGTATGATACCACATGTAGTTTTGATTTATATAGTTCAATAGAACATGACTATTTTTCGGAACTAATGTATGACGGAAGGCATTTCAAAATTTTTTTTTTCATGTCCCGAACCTTAATGGCAAGGAATTTAATGGTAAGGAATTTATTTAATGGTAAGGAATTTATTTAATGGTAAGGAATTTAATGGTAAGGAATTTATTTAATGGTAAGGAATTTATTTAATGGTAAGGAATTTAATGGTAAGGAACTTAATGGTAAGGAATTTAATGGTAAGGAACTTTATGGTAAGGGACTTTATGGTAAGGGAATTTAATGGTATGGAACTTTATTTATGGTAAGGCATTTAATGATACTAAGTAAACTAATAATTGACTATAAATAATAGATATTTAACGCTATTATGTATTTATGTATTATTACTGACATGAAATTGTTTCTGGACTCAATGTTCCTCTTTGAATGTAATTCCGTAATGTTACATTAATTTGTTCATCTCTGCGGATAAATCTCAGTATATCCACCATCAAACACAAGTTTTTTATACCTCTGTTATAGCATTGACAAAGAAATTTTTCAAATGCTTCCGTGTTCAGATTTAAATTTTTATCTAACGAAAGTATTTTTATGGATAAAGAAATGTTTTTTCCAAGAGCTTCGGCCCAAATACACATATCTTCTTCAAATGATTGATCATCTTCATATCGATCCACTCTCAAATTTTGAAGATGAGTAAGCGTACGAATACATGTTGGAAAATATTTTGCTGTGGATGTAGTTAAAGAAATTACTAATTCCTTCAACATTGTACAATTCTCCATAATCGACTTAAATAATAATTCTTCATTTTCTGGATCAATCGATTTCATCCAATTCAATTTTAATACTTTAAGATTATTATTTGTGTTTTGAAGTATACTTGAAATATACAAGTTATTCACCGTAGGTTGACACAATTCAAATTCATCAAGATTATTCAGTGATTTGTATTTTATAATATCTTTTAATTCATCTGCATCTTTCTTGGCATCTTCGTAACGGCATTTAAATTTATCCAATTTCAATTTAAATAACTTTAATTTAGTGCACTCTTGAAAAGTTTCCAAAGGGATGGATCCGCGTTCATGGATAATCAAAGATGTCAAATTATTTAATTTTAATCTAAGTGAATTAATGATTTGTGGTATCGGTAATGAATCTCTATGCAGGATTAATTTTAAGGGTGACGTTGACAGCGAATCGATTAAAGAAGCCAGTGCTGAGTTATCATCAGAATCACAAAAAATTTGTAAATTATTTATTTCGGAAAAAAGGTTCGAAATGATAAAGTAAAGATCGGGAGAATGTTTCGTGAAACAAGAAAGTTTGTCAAGAATCGAATTAGAAGGGATAACGCCAATTAATCGTTCAAAATGAATTGATTCGTTCCATTTAATTGAATTCATATTAATTTGATAACTTAATTTTGGACTTTCAGAAATGAAATGCTTGACTAATTCTCGTAATAGACCAATTCGTTGGTTGGCAGTTCTATCGTATTTACAAATCGAGTAATAAGCTTTATGAAGGATGAATTGATTAATGGTATCATAAAGGCTTTGCAATTCGAGCTTTTGTAAAAAAGAAGCATAGTTGAAAGTAGGTTGATTTAAAGGAATTTCAAACTGACACTCTAAATTTTTTAATAAAGACTTTGATACTTTGGGTAAATTTGAAATGTATACTTTGAGGATTTTTTCTAAAGATTTTTCTTTTCCCGCGCAAATATTTAAAGGTTCTTCCCACATGATTGAAATAGCATTCATGCTCCAATAACGATTTACCAAAAGGCATGATGCAGCTAGATTCTTATAACGTGCGTGACGGTTTTTGATCTCAACATTGTATTTGAATATATCTTGAAGTATTTCCGGAGGAAGACGAGAGGAGATAATGCTTGACATGCTAGGTTGAATTTGATTAATTTGATTAATTTGATTAATTTGAATAAACAAAGAGTATCCGAAATATAACACTTTATATATGGAACCTATCAAAGGTTGTAAAAGTTTCACAATATTATATTATCGTATTCATAAAAGGTAATGATCATTATAGCATACACAATACTTTATATTGTCATGCATGCAGTTGTCATGTAATTTCGCATAATATACAATGTTTCAAGCAACAAAAAAAAAATTATTTAATGATTTTGATGATTTTGACGTTAAAATCTTTCAATCCATGTTCTTTTTTTGATAATATATTGTTTTCATTCACGCATTTTTCAGACTATATCGATATTTCTGTAATTATACTAGGTTCTGAACCGGTTTTGTTTTTTAAGCCTGTCAAGCCAGTATTTACAACAAACTGGGTACAGTGCCAGAAACCTGGATAACGTATCACATTATTATTCTTATCGGAAATCGGATTAACTGTTAATTACAGAATTAGGTTTCAAATACGTACGTACGTACGTATTATCATTATTATACGTAGATTGCCGTTATTTTTTCATTATTTTGTTAATCTAGCCATTTATTTTATATTTATTAATATCACGTTTAAAAAATCTGCATCGCAGTTTATATGAAATTACTGTATAAATATTCATCCAATGACATTTTAACCAAATTACTAACAATAGAATATCGAATAATTGTAATTTATAGTGAGATCTTTGATTATTGTGCTAATCGCATGATGAGTACAATATCTATTTGATCACTATGAAAGCCTTTTTTTATAACAATACATCCTGCCTTCACTTCTCTTTGCCCATTTTTTGAATTGTGTTCAATGTTCACATAGTTCTTTTATGAATTTGGATTTGTGATGTAACAACTCGGGCATGATTGGTTCGTTAAGTGTCGAATTAGTTAAAAAAAAAATTCCGATGTTTTTAAGTTACTTAAGGATTTGATCAAATATCAATTATCTATAATTCAATTAAATAGTATATATAAATCGTTCTTGTTTATGAAAACAATGAAAATTAAATTTATGTGTAACAACTGTTATGTGTACCTCTGTAATTGGATGTGTTACAATTACAATTACAAAATTAGATCTCTGTTATTTGTCAAAAGGTTTTTCATTTTGTTCGATTTTTTATCTTTATTTAAATAGAACTTTGTTTTCTCAAGAGGAATTAACCGTCCTTTGCCCCATTTAGTCTGGTGACTTTTTGATTTTCATAGCCCCTTGGATCTGCTATGTTGGTGTAACTGGATCCTGAAGATGCTAACGTTTTGATAGTTATCAACGATTCTCTATAATCTTTTTTTCCTTATAATTGGTTAATACAAACATGTGTACGTAGAATAGAACTAACTGCTTAGAGTACATCAAATTGATTTTGACAATTTAAAACTATAATATTGATATAATTTATATTGATTATATTGATTATATATTGATTATATTGATTATATTGATACTTTATGAGGTTATAATCCTAAAATTACAAAGGATTTTCATACGACAGTTATGTAGCCATCATGCATTACTTGATGTAACAATTCCATTTACATCTATCTCCTTAGTATCATCATTTCCAATCGCTTTTATATAAATTCTTTTGTGTATTTTTGTTATTTGATCACGTGTCAACCAAATTTTACGGAATTTTTTTTGCCATAAGTTTTTTTGTGTTCCATCTATATTCTTCTTTCGTCGTCTTCACATGTTTCACTACTACCAATTAGCCTACATGTTCCAGATAAGGCCGTAAACACAATTAACATATGGCAATGATGTATTAGTGACGTCACTATCTAGATTTTATGACATGAAGGTGACGTGAGAGAAAGAGCCTCTATCAATACGTAGTCCCATGTTTAAATTGATCAAATAAATAGACGTACGTATCTAAATTTTATAATGTAATGTATAAAAAATTTTTTAAATTTGATTACAAATTAGATAAAACATTTAATTTAAACTTTAAATTCGTATTTATTTTTAGCATTTAAAGACTTTTTATATAATATTAATTTAAAATATTGGTCGATAATAGATAATGATAAAAAATGTACGATGCTTTACATTGAATTGGTTTTTTTAAAGTACATAGTAACGAATTATTTTTAGCTTTTTAATTAGTATTCACCGCTTATAGTATTTTCAAAAATAATATTTTACTATATAAATTATTAATTTTACCAATAAAATTACATGTAAAATAAACCTATTTGTCTATTTAAACTTTATACTAAAAGTGTTTAACTTAGTGGCAAGCAATATTAATATATATGTTTTTTTTTTACTTATATATATATTTTAATTTCAAACAATTATACTAGTATTAATTAAATCAATTAATTTTACTATATACTGTATATACACATTAGAGTTGATCTATAGTATAGGTGGGCAACAAACATAAACTAGTAGGTTAGGAATAGTTTTTTATATATAACAGGAGGTGTAATATAAGAATATAAATGTTAACCATATAGTCTTCTAAAAATTTCATATATTTTTTGTATAATATATTTATTTGTCACATATATAGTCATCACTTATGTTATATGCCTACCTATACTATATATATAATTCTAAAGACTATTTACTAACCAGTAGAGATACTTCAGTATAAAGGTATTTGGTTTAAAATAAACTTTTTAAAAAACAACTTAAAGTTACACATGTGATTAAATTGTACTTTCATTGTAAATATTATATATAGGATTTATATAAATAAAATATCAATAATAAAAGTCATCCTAATAAAAAAAATCATTAAACTAATTTTATATATATATAATATATAAAATTATATAAATTTTCTTTTATAATTTTAATATATAATAGTTAACTAATATATTTAACAAATTATATATATTTTAATAATCTTAAAATATATTTTTGTTTATATTTTTTTTATATTGTCAAAATAACTTTAAATTGATTCTTTGTTTAATATACAGTAATATTAAATAGTTTATAAGAGTGAAAAGAAAGTTTAAAAATATATTAATTAAAAAAACAATAATTTTATTGGCTGTAAAAAATATAAAAAATATAAAAATAAATACTGTCTTTAATTGATTAATATAGTATATATTTTGTTATAAAATTTTAAATAAATAAAGAATAT